TGATGCCTCTGTATTATAAAAGAAAATGTTGTTTATTATGTCAATGCAGTCTTGCATGGTCTTACTCCTTACAGTTTCTCGAATTATTCGAAAAGAATGAACAGACTCAGTCAAGTGCATCGTTTAAATTGAAAAGATTTCATGATAAAGAAAATATAGTTACAGACATACGAAGTGTACAGTGTTATGCATGTTTTCTTCATTGTGTATTCTATGCAAGAATTATTTATGAACACTTTGTTGTGGTTGACTTGGTCCCGTTACACACACCAATTATAACCTAAAGGAGGGGTGAATCCAGAAATTTCTCCGGAGGGGGAACAGGTCATAGATATTTTTTCCTGCTTTCTAATTTTTAGGACAACTGGGGACGACGATGAAACATTAAATGACATAGATTCTTAAAAATAATATTGGTGCACTTCCTTTACTAATTCTTTGTGTGATTTTCCACATTTTCCCCCTTTTCTTGCCTCAGAGCAGAGGTGGTGATCTACCCCCCCCCTGGAACTGTGGCTGTGAACCATAGGGCAATGAAAGACCACCCACGGGTAGATGCTAGAGGCCTAATCGATTTAGATAAGTCTGATACTGCTATATAAACGTACGATGTTCCTTAAAGTGTAATTGACACTCCATGATGAGGTGAATGGGCAGAGGTTTGACAAACAAGCTACATCATCAATCTTACCTGTTGTGGAATAAAGAGTTGTTGTCTCTTTTGTTGTGGACTCGGGAGTGGTAGAAATTACTGTCGTTACCTCCTTGGTGGTTGACGGCTGGACAGTTGTGGGTGGCTGTTCAGTTGTAGAAGGAGCCTCTGTAGTTGATACACGAGTAGTCGTTTTCTCTGTAGTACTTGGGGGAGCTAGGGAACAAATTAGTCAAATTTCATTGGACACTTTGTCAGAAGACACTGATAAGGAAGACACTCTTCAAACTCAAATGCAGACGGTGAAGTGGCATCGTCTAACGTGGAAGTCTCCACCTCCCGCATCAAAATGTGAACATTAATTCCAATTTTTTAGAGGTCTCCGTCAGCCCCTTTTGTTAGTAGCTGATTTTTATAACTGGTAGGTACAAATGTTTACCCTGGAGTTACTCAACTAAGCAAAAGAGTAAATTTTAGATACCCGTTGGGGTTTCCTGTGATGTTGTTGCCACAGTTGTCTCTTTTGTAGTAGTTGCCGTCGGAGTTACGGTTGATGTTACTGTTGTTGAGACTTTTTCAGTCGTTGACGGAGCGGCTGTAGTTGACGGAGTGGTTGTTTTCAAAGTCGTTGATACCTTTGTTGTCAATTCTGTTACAGGTTGGATACAACAGAAAGCGGTGCTAACAAGATATGTATTTAAATTATTAAAATTTACCAGTAATTTGGATGTAAGAACAGTGTACTTCTGTTGTTTTTAGGGAATCTGCGCGATATATGAGATTGTAAATAACTGTCACACCGCCTCTCCTTCTAAGTCGATTAAATTCCTTATAATCCCTGTTCAAGACCTTAAAATCATTATTAGCACTCTCAATTACCACACCATCCAGACTCCCCAACCGTTCCCGACCGACTACACGGTGGGAAATATCCTATTTCAATTGTAACTAAACAAGCATACCTGTAGTGGACGGTGCCTTCGTTGTAGACGGTGCCTCGGTGGTAGTTGCTGCTTGGGAAAAGGGCATGAATGTTTCAAAAACGCACACCATAACTACTGACAAAATGTTTGCATGTCTCAAAAAAGTGCACAAACAGTCATTTATCTGTAGAGAAAAGTTGCCAATCTCATAACAATTGACAGAATGTATCACACAAATATGAAGGTCCCTTTGAAAGAAAACAGGTTTTTATTCCTTTCATGGCGTATTCTAAGAGTGAAGAACAAGGCAAAGACCGAGAGCAATTCATAGCGTTTTCTATTTTATACAAATGTACGGGTCAAAGCTTATTACTAATGAAGTACCTTCGTGTTCACAGCCGTTGAAGATCACTTTGTAGCCATCTGGATTTGACGTGATGATGGACACTCTTATTCCCGTTACAAGTGGCATACTGGACGGCATAGGAATCTTGCTGTCCGTTTGGCCAGTAAAGATTGTGGAACTGTCGTCGCCAACTAACGGCACGTATGGCAACCGGTCACCCGGCTGAACCCTGAAGGCGACAGTTATATCCCCAGGTGGGCCCTGCTCAATTCTGATGATAACGGATGTGATTTCAACCCGTGGGCTGAAAGTAGCCTCCAAGTACGATCCACTGTAAGGCGAATTCACGTCATCAGGTGGATTGGTCGGGCGCCACCAGTCACCCGGTGTTAAAATGCTGTCTGAGTCAGATTCTTGGCGTGTTACCGTTACTGGCTGGTAAGTGTCAAGATCTTCTGTGCATTCCTCAGGGGTCGTGGACGGTGGGGAAATAGTTGTCACTGAGGTAATATAAAAAGTATGTGAAGAAGGGGAGTTACATTACATTAAAAAATACATTTGGAAGTGTTGGAACTAGGCAGGCATTTCAATGGAATTGTTACAAACTCACCAAATAACGAAGTTGTCTTGAAAATCTTTGCATCAACTATAAAATCTTGGCCAAAAAACAACTCAGGTGCGAGACATTTGACCATTTCCTTCAGATTAAAAACAGCTCAACAACATAGAAACAACTTCTGCAGTAACACGTCAGCAGGGAATGGATGAGCAAGTGCTTATAGTTATGAACAAATCGTCGTATGCCCGGAAAAAGGTCTTAAGCGCGCTGACGCCCTTTTGCCGGGAACCATGATCACAGTAGAAAAATGTTTCCAGCAAAAGGACGTGAGAAACACACTCTCTCTTATTCAGTAAATCTATAAAATCAACACAGGCTGTACAAAAAGCAACCTCTGAAGAACTTATCAAACGTCTTTGAATTTTATTTTACTTTTTGCCAAGAAATCTTTATATTTAATTAAGATAAACCAGTTGTATACATACTGTAGTTACTTCCTTTTGCCGGAAAAAAGTTCTTTTGCAGTGATCATGCTGCTCGGCGAAAAGGGTGCAAGCGCTTAGGTCTTTCTTCCAGGCACACGACAAAATGCATTATTCGACAATAACATTTCAGCCCAATGGCTTTTAATTAATGTGTTTTGCCATAAGGGGCCCATGGTACCTGCTTGAACTCAACAGAGAGTAGGCTAACCTGTTGTTGACACAACCGTTGTGGTCTCCTCGGTTGTTGCCTCAGGAGTTGTGTATATCACTGTCGTTGACAGTTTCTCGCTGGTCGATGGTAAGGATGTAGTTGTTGGCCGCACTGTAGTTGACTCACGGGTAGTTGTTCGCTCAGTAGTACTCGGTACTTCTTCAATTAGAGGAAATTTCTCGTTATTGTCTTAAATAGCATTTACCATTAATTAGACAGTGGAGGATTTCAAGTTCATTTCTTTTTCCCGCATATTTGTCAAGGTTTCACATTTTTCCCAATACTGAAATATACAATGTGTCCCAAAACTGATGCAAGCTAATACTGTTAATATTTTAGTATATCCTACGTGGTTTTAAGGAGGATACTTATATTCGCTTAGTAATGCTTTTTATTTCATCATCTTTGCTTTTGGCAAATTAGAGGTGTACCACAGTAAATACTGACGATCAAATTTTAGTTTTAACCACTTTTCAAAAAAGGGATTACTCCTGTACGTGTGCTTGGGTTTACCGGGGAATGCATCATCAAAAGAAATTAAAATTGAATAAAAAGCATCATCAAGCCAAGGTTGTGCTCTTTGAACTGTGTGAGTTGTAATTGTCAGCATGTGACTTTTTCTTTTTGAAATGGCAATATTTGTTTGAACCAATTTTCTGGAGGCTCCTTTGAAATGAAAGGCACTTAGCATTTTATTCATCTCTTTCATACATGATTGTGCATTATAATCTTGAATTAGGATTTGGTATATTTCATTTTGGTTATATCATCTTTGGCAAACTCACAAAAACGAACCAAACTTGAGCTGAATTATTCTCATATGTATTTTGAGAACGATTGTAGGCTGCATTGGAATCTTACCAGTGGTTGAAGCTTCTGTTGTTGAAACAGAAGTAGTTGTCTGTTCAGTAGTTGTTAACTCTGGCGTTGTCGAAATTACTGCAGTACTCGTCACCTTCTCTGTGGTCGACACCTGAGTTGTTGATGGAATTTTTGTAGTTTCCCGAGCGGTAGTGACCACTGTTGTTTCCCCTGTTGTGGTAGTCTCTATCGTGGATGCCACTGAAGTAGGCAAAAGAAATGAACCAAGGTATCGTTTATGAAGAAGAGAAAATCAACTTGTTTGACATTTCATTAATGCCCACCTTTATATCCCTCGTCTAAACACGCAAATCTCGGATATTTGTTTTCGGAAAAGATGAAAAACAGACTAAGCTGACATTTCATTCATTCTATCATTCATTCATTACTAGTGTCAGGATGGGTACCAAAGTCTGCATCGATCCAATACTTTTGCATTATAATCACGCGTCTTTATACATACTACTTAGTGTGTTGATGAACTGGGTATAATCCATGAATTATATACATTTATGTGACATGGAATGAATAAGATTATCTAGTCAAAAGTAAATCAGTGCCGTCTTATCCATTGCTAGTTACAGAGCAGGTTAACTGAGCTTTTGAAATACTCTCCCTGTGTTTTTCACCCTTGCTACTTACACTAGTAGGAGCGGGCACTTACAAATGCAAATTATGCTGACAAGATGGCCGATTGCACGGCACTATGAGTTAGCCGAAAGGTGCAATTCTTACTTTACAAACCGAATGCACTATAAATCAATACGGTCAAATGTATCATAACACAAACCGTTTACTGACAACACAGTCACGAGATGGCCATAGTAGTATTATAAATGGGGTTACTAGACCAAATTTGCCCCCTATACCTACCCAGGGAAAAAAGTGTCATTCTCAAAAATGAAAGTACCTATATCCCCTGCTGTATACAACTCACCCTAACAACCTCAAAACAACCCTAAAACGCACCCCACACTTACGCCTCACACCCCACAACTCACGGTGCCTTATGCCAAAATTGGTGCTTTAAGTAAAAACATTACGGCGTTTTTTTACAATTTTGGTGCACTCGGAGTTGCCGTATAATATTTAGGAGGTAATGCTTCTTGTTATTATAACATTATAAAACAGGTATGTCAACAACTCAAGAAATTAAATGTCGTGATATATGTAATAAATATAAACCGTTTACTGAATTTAAGCTTGTGAAAAAAATATACATACACAATTTTATAATGTATGAACAGAAAAGCAAAGAAAGTGGCGTATGTGTAAATACGATCATGACAAGTATTTTAAAAAGGACTACGTTTAAAGCTATTCAAGATCATCTCAAAGATTACACAAACATCACGAGGCGTAAAAAAAGAAGACCTCGAACGCCTCGTTGAATCACAAAATTTAAAGATTACACCTACAGGGCGCAACGGGCGGTTTACAAGATCTGATTATATCAAGTCAATTAATCTTTTTAGATTATGGCAAATTTGATCGTGTTGATATAAAACAAACTGCTAGGTTTAACACCAAAAGTATAAATGTTGAATTAAAAACAGATCAAATCATTGCAGATGTTATCACTTTTTATAATTATTACATCCAACTTATTCGTGACAAAATCATATTAGCGTGGAAAGAAATTGGCGACCGTCGCCAAATTAAACTTCAATCATCAATGGTTGTAGATTTTATTAATCCAGATTGTGGACCCGATGAAGACAGAGACAAAAGTTTACAACATACATTTAATACTGAATATACCGTTATAACGCGTGTCAATTGAATTGTTCCAATTATGCTTGAGCACAGAAAAAAAAATTGGAAAAAAACAACTGAGCGTTTTGTAAAAAAAGGGTCAGTGTATATTGTAAATGAAATAAACACATTTTATATCAACATTGTTAGGTAAAGAGATATAGCTGAAAGCAGTTATATCGAACTCGATAATTTTTCTAACGCCATAAAAAGCCGTGATTAATATCAAAAATGAAGACCAACAATGTGTGCGATGGTGTCTGAGGGCAGCCTTAGGTAAATACTCATTACGTTTTACAACCACCTTAAAGATAAACCAGAGTTTTAAATACACGAAGAAAGAACGGCTACCTTTACAGAAGAAGATGGTCTTGATTTTACAGGTATCGATTCTCCCACACCGTTGTCACAGATTCCACGTATTGAAAAACAAAACAACATCACGATCAACGTGTAAAGGTGAAGGAAGCCCTGCTTATTTTGTTGAAATGCCAAAACCTAAGCTGTATGAAGATGAACCCGCATTAGAATTTTAAAAATTTTAGGCACAAACAAAAAACTCCGTTTGTGATTTATGCTGATTTTCAATCAATTTTGGATAAAAAACGACAAATCTCGACCACAAAACACACCCCTTGTGGTTTTACTACATGATAACGAAAAAACTGGCGAAAAACTTTATCGAGGGCCAAACACAAGTCACGTATTTGTTACAAGTCGCATGGAAGAAGTTGAAAAAAATAACGACATTTTTGCTAAAACTTACACCTAAACAAGAACGACAGTACAAATATGCCAGAAAGTACTGGAGATGTGAAACACTCATTCAGTACAACAGATATGAAAATTGGTGTAACGCAAAAATATGGGGTAACAACAACGATTCTGACGTTGGCAAAATTTAAATGTGTGGTAAATAAACACAGTTTTAAGAAAGTTTTGCATTTCAAAGAATGTGACATGAGTTATATAGAAATAATGAAAACCAAAGTCACACTCAACAAGCCAATTTATGCTGGGTTGTGATTTTGGAACTTTCCAAACTGTTAATATTCGACTTTTATTACATCACATTCAAACATCGTTATGGTGACCAATTAAGTTTATTGTACAGCGATACCGACAGTTTACTCATTGAAATAAAAGCCGACAGCATCGATAAAGCATCGATGTTTTTAAAAAACAAAACGAAATTAAATCAGTGAAGGCATTTCAGTGTCTTCAGGTACCACTTGAAGCTCTTCTCGCACAAACAAAACGTTTTGGACCATTTAGCAATAAAGCGTTGGCCCCGTTTTCATCTTTTTGCCTCTGACTCGTTTTAACTGACTCATACGTTTCTCGGTCTGATACACGTTCACACTCCAGATCGGATCGGTCGCTCTCCTGACGGTGGCACCTTCTTGTTCACCCGGGTAATATAGGTACTGGACTAAAGCGTTTGAAGAAAGGCCTTTGGTTTCGCTTCGCTCAAGTGCAGCCGGTCTTACGCGGTCCAACATGACAGCGTTTGCGGGAACTGCATCGATCAACCGAGTTTTTTCTTTATTTAGCGATTTTATACCCTCGGGTAATCTTGTAGCCCATTCCACGTTACGTTCACCAGGACTTGACATTTCTTGCGCGTACTGGTAAGCAAACAAACCCCCGGCTAATATTCTGTTCTACGATCTACTGCGATCAGTGGACACCCGGTCCACCCACTTGTACCTGCACGCCTTTTTTACGAGGGTTTTTTAAAACTCACCTTTAAATTCCGATCCCGAATCTACGTTAACCGTTTTAGGCCAAGTCAAACTCGACCTATCGTAAACCTGCCTCATGGCATTAATCACTCGTTCAGTCGTTTTAGTCTGGAAGCCACGTCGACTACAGCTAATTCGTTTTTGTTTGTTTTACCCCTTGGACCTTTTGGAACCCGAACGGCGTATTCTGATAGCAAAGTAATTGGCCTGGGTATATACCCAGGGGCAAGTGGATAAATTTGCCACATGGCTTGCTTTTTTAATCAAGCTGTCACTTTGGTTTTGTTGACGCCAGCTTTTTTGGTGCAAGTGATCTACTGCACTTACACCTTTCCAATAACCTTTGGCGCTGTAATAGGCTTTTAAAACTTTGCTTCTTCCCTTCGCTATGTCCCTTTTAAAAAAAAACAAAGTATTTTTTTACAAATACTTTTACACAACAGCGCTCAACAACGCTGTAGCACCCGACACCCAAACTTGTCGAGGTTCTTTTTGATCGTCGCTGGGCTTGTAAAAATCGCTAAAATTATGTTCGGGTTTGAGTTCCAAATGATGCGTACCCACGATTTCATTGTACTCTTTCAAGGCTTAATTGACTTCGTTGATCGTTTGTTTTGATTCTTTCGTTGTTTTGCAATCGAGAGTTAAAAAAATCTAAAAGGTGCGTCCCGTGTTCCACCCACGCTTTCCTAGCTTTATTAAATTGTTCCATGGCAACATCGTGCATCTTGTATTCTTCATTGACTCTATTTTTGTTTATCATACCAAACAAAAAGTTACTTTCCGTAAACGCCAATGCATTGGTCCTCGCTCCACCAATCATCATTCCAATACTCGCTAACGCCATCTTTTTTAAAAAACGCAAACCAAAAAACATTGTTACCCTTATATTTAAGAACGAAACAAAAACATTATGATGAACTACGGTAAGAACTTAACCCTAATCGTCGACTCAAAAATCCAAGAGCAACCAAAGGTGAACGCAAAGAGGTCGTCATTACTCACAACCCGTCTGTGATCGCTGAAAAACAACAGTTAATCGTGATATTACCACCATTGGGTGTCGATGACGTTACTGCCCCAGGCACGATCAAGCTCGCTTTTAAACTCGAATTCGACGGTTCGTCAGACGACAACATAACCGTGTTCAACAACCTAGCGAGAAACTTGATCAAAGAAATTGCCGCGTTACTTCAGGATAACAGTATACTGGTTCACAAGAATGCCGACTTTTTTACAATTTTAAAGATAATTGACTTCCCAAAACACACTCCCAAAACACGGCTTACTTTGGATTAGAAAAAGAAAACGTCGCAAAGCTACGACTGGGTGCGGCCGACAAAAACGAAGCCGCAAACAACGGAAAAGACAAATCAGTTGCAGACGCGTTTGGCAACCGATACGCAATTCCCCTCGATATCGAAGTATTGACCGTTCAACAATCTTGGCAAAGTCGTCAAGTAGACCGATACCGCTGCAGATTACGCAATTTCAGACCTAACGCTCGAATACGAAGTCGTAAGCAATCAAGAACTCGCTCAAACGCTAAAAACCAAATATTAAGGCCCCGGTGCACTACGTGTTTGACAACGTTAACAATTTGGAAATACGTTCGGTAAATAAATCAGACACATTATGTAACGTGATGATTAACCACCCAATCAGCAATTTGAAAGATGTCTTGATCTTGTTCAAAGACCC